TCCCTGTGGTTGAAGCTGCTTCTCACTGGTCTCTGCACCCAGTTGTAGGAGCTAAACTGGTAGAGAACTAACCCTACAAAAAAGGGGATGTTTTCCTACCAGTCTAAATCCCTGACTTACCATCTTCACTATCAAAAGACAATGCTCATGCAAACAAGGGATGAAAGAGTCCAGGACAAGAGATAAGGGATCTTCTTTTTATTCTAGTAGCTGTTACTCATTAGATGAGTTTAGATGTATCACCAGCTGTTCTGGTGTCTTTGATAAAGGAGCCTTTTAGATATTTTTTTTTACTGTCTGTATGTGGCTACTCTAATGATGGGGAACCTGAGGACAGAAACAGCCTGTAACTTTATTTCATCTAGTCCATGGCAATATGATTTCTTCCTCCTTGTTAATGACTAGTGTATGTGTTAATGCATGACCTGTGCAACTTTCAGGAAAGAAAAGATTCAAAAGGCAAAGCAGATAGAATCATAGAATGTTAGAATCGACTGGGTTGGAAAAGACCTTTGAGATTATCAAGTCCAACCCTTGATCCAACATTGCCGTGGTTACAAGACCATGGCACTAAGTGCCACATCCAGTCTCATCTTAAAAACCTCTAGGGACAGAGAATCCACCACCTCCTTGGGCAGCCCATTCCAATGTCTGATTACTCTCTCCGTAAAAAATTTCTTCCTAATATCCAATCTAAACATCCCCTGGCAGAGCTTAAGATCATGCCCTCTTGTTCTGCTGCTGGTTGCCTGGGAGAAGAGACTGATGCTCACCTGGCTACAACCTCCTTTCAGGGAGTTGTAGAGGGTGATGAGGTCTTCCCTGAACCTCCTCTTCTCTAGGCTAAACAACCCCAGCTCCCTCAGCCTCTCCTCATAGGACTTGTGCTTGAGTCCCTTCACCAGCCTGGTTGCTCTTCTCTAGACCTGCTCCAGCACCTCAATATCCTTCCTGAACTGAGGGGCCCAGAACTGGACACAGCACTCAAGGTGTGGCCTCACCAGCACTGAGTACAGGGAAAGGATCACTTCCCTCATCCTGCTGGTCACACTGTTCCTGATCCAGGCCAGGATGCCATTGGCCTTCTTGGCCACCTGGGCACACTGCTGGCTCATGTTCAGCTTCCTGTCAGTCCAAACTCCCAGGTCCCTTTCTTCCTGGCTGCTCTCCAGCCACTCTGTGCCCAGCCTGTAGCGCTGCAGGGGTTGTTGTGGCCAAAGTGCAGAACCTGGCACTTGGCCTTGTTGAACTTCATCCCTTTGGAATCAGACCATCTCTCCAGCTTGTCCAGGTCCCTCTGAAGAGCCTGATGGATGTCAGAATAGAACATCAAGGATTAAGTGTTGAGCCCATGAAATGGTGATCTTAATGAACAATAGTATTCAGAAGACTTTTCTTGATTTAATGCTAGATTTGTATATAACACTGCAGTACACTAAATAGCTTATATTCATATTTGTGTGTTGCAAAATAATAATCTTGAATACTAACTTCCCTTCTTGCCTGGAGCAATCTTCCCAAAGAAATAGAGGGGTAAGGGCCATAACTTAGTGCCAGATGTGCTGTGCAAACATGACTGAAATTTTATTTACCTGATGGAAAGAAATTTAAAGTTACCGCGAAGAAACAAGGACAGTTTTATGTAAAGTGACGAATAATAATTGCTTAGATTTACTTTTTCCAGAAACATGATAATGACCACTTAAGTTTTTGGCATACCAATGTCATACTGATTTATGAGATAGCTATTGATGATTTTGCTACATGAAAAAAAGCTTTAAAAGTGACAGGTTAATTACAGAATATATAATTAATGGGTGAGAATTGGTTGTACCTGTTTTCCTAATCCTACTCTCATAATACAGTGTTACATCCTCTGGAATGTAATTTATACATGTGTTATGTACAATCATCAGGAAAATTTTGCACATAATGATCTCTGAGTCTCTTTCTTCAGTCCTTCACAGTGATTGCAGGAAGGATAATTTGCATTAACAGGGAATGCAGGACTAAATGTTTGCACTGGTTTTTAATAACTGCTTCCTTTAGGATTCCACAAATGGCATTTGGTTCCTCAAACAATTTCTGCAAAACAAGTAGCATGCTTTGAAGTCTGTGCTAGAAGAAAAAGAAACAAAACCAAAATGTGAATCTCCCAAAGTACTTTCTTCCTTTTGTGGAATGGTTCAGTGGCTTAATGAGGTTAATTTATATTAAGTTGTGGGAAATACTTTATCTGCTGTATAGAGGCTTTAATTTCACATGAATTTGACAGATACTCTACTTACTGCACTGGAACTCAATGATTTAATAAGCATAAGGAGATGAAATCCCTACATTTCCTCTCAAGGAATATTCATTGCATGCTCTAGATGGTATAGAAACTTGAGAGTGGTTGGCCTAGATTCTTTAGTGTTTGAAGTATCTTTATATACTTATCTAGGATGTTTTGGTTTTATACCCAGAAAATGTCAAAGTAGCTTTATTAAAGATTCCCCAAATACTATCAATAGTATATGGTTATTTTTTTTCTGTTCCATTTTTCATGCAACTTTTCACCCTTTGAAATGCTTTTCTGTATTGTACATGAATGCAGGTGACTGTTTCATTTAATTACACTCTTTTTCTGTAGAAGTATTGCAATGCCTGATTTTCTCCTCCTAATTACTGCAAAGGAGGCTTTCAAAACTTTTGTTCCAGTATTAACATTTCTCTCACAGAATTTTACAACAGCTCTTTCAACTGGCTTCCATTCCCGATGGCTATTGGCATACACTTCATTTTCTCTTAGAGGTTATATTATGGCATTTCTGTAGACCTAGTAGAGCAGTGTAAAGCTATACAATAAGAGAGTAAGGAGACAAAATTGCAGGATCAGTGATACAAAGAATACAAATAAAAGCTAATATAGTGAAAAATTGAGTGGTACGAAGTTCTCATCCTGCCACTAAATTTACTTCCTTTTTGTACATTCAGTGTCTGGGGTTTTTTATGTACCTTTCATAAAATACAAAGTAGTGAATTTGTGTTAGAATGAGTGGGTATAAGATGTGTAATTGCCTATCAAAATAAAACTAGTGTGAACTTACAAAAGCAGCATGTGTTTGTTCTACTATATATTATATATTCCCAATATATCCTAGAATAATTTTTTCCATATTCACAGATAAAAAACCTTCCAAGGGTTTTACTGAGAAAAAAGTAATTTATTTAAATTACTTTATTGGCATACATTCCAGTAGAATTGTTTGGAAAATAATTAAAAGTAATTTTTGCAGCAGCCTCTGCTAGTAGCTGTAAAAATATTTGCTCATCATCAATGGTATGAAAATATCAGAGATTGAAAATTTCAGACAGACAGGATGAATTGTTTTCCTTATCCTCTGTTGAATTAAACATTATAATTAGAAAGTGAAGAAAAGCAGTTTTTGTGCATAAAAATATTTTCTTTCCTCCTAGATTTCTGATGTAAATGTAACATTTTAGCATATCAAAATATGATGGATCATGGGTTAATTGTTTGCATTGTGTTATATCTTTTCAGATGTAGCACAGCATGATGTGGTGGAGTATAATCAAACCTGACACAGTATAATGCACTGAGCAACAACAAAGACCACAAACGGTTCATTGGAATTTGTTATACTGAAAAATGCATAATTCCCTGAATTAGATGTTTAGCAGTTTATGTTTTGTTGATGAAGACACGGAGTCTAATTTGCTATCTGTGGCTTTTGCCTCTAGGAACATTCTTGGGGTCCATAGCCTACATCAAGTTTGTTTTCCTTTTTCAGGCCTTTTAGGAGCTGATACTGTGAAATAACAACTGAGTGAATCCAGGGATCAGTGTTGGGCTCCTGAAAGGCTGTTAGTAGGATTTTCTCCTCATGGAAGCTCTCACTTATTGCTTGACACTAGGGATATAAAAGGTAGCTGAAGCATTCAGTACATATGCTTTGCATAGAGCATCCAAAAAGTTAAACAGAAGTAGAAATAGAGGATTTAGAGGTTTTGTTTAAACACATATTGCTTTAAATAGTTCGTATTCCTCCCCATACAAAGTTGTAGGTTATTACCAGCGAAAAGTTCAGATTTCTTTCTCTCTTTCTTTGGATGGGAATTAACTATCCCCACAAATATCTGGTCTTGTGTCAGTAACCACTGAAAGTTCAGATAAAATTACTTTGGTAACTGGCTGCTGAATCAGAAAGGGTAGTTTGGCAGTTCTCCTCTTACCAAATTGGTCCTCTCATAGGACTCTAGTATGAGATCCATGGTTCTGGTGATCAGTTGGAGCAGCTTGAATGGGAGTGATAGGTACATATATCGAAGAAAGAAAATTGTCATGTTGACTCCCTTGTTTGAAAAATTTGGTTCCCCATGTTGTCAGACTTACTTTGCAGTGCCAGGTAGAAAGATTTAAAATGTGATTCCTTAGCAGATATTATTTCTAGGTTTTGTTTTAGGACTGTCCCTGTATACTGCCAGTTGTTCCCTTTGCGCTTGTAGGAAGGTTTTGGAATATCATATCAAAGACTGTATCTGTTCTGGACATAAAGCCTGGAGACATAGATTCTGAAAACCTCTGCATGTATGGGTGTTTTAGCATTGATACACTTTCATGTCAAAGTTTCTCCCTTAGGGAAAAAGAAAAAAAATATTGGTAGAGATACACAACTGTTTAGAGGAGTCCAGAAATTAATATAGTTTCTAGGTTAGTTTTGTGTTTCTGCTTCCCACTTCACTGGAGCAGTCCCACATGTTGCCTTGTCCAACTGTTCATCTTTAGCTAGTGTTTTCTGCCTGAGATAGTTATACTACTTTTACGAAGGAAATAAACTTTACATTCTACTGTTAGTATCATTGTAATTCTTGTTTCATGCATGGTAGATTGCCTTAAAGAACCAAATGTATTGCATTTCTTATTAAAAAAATCCAAACCAAACAGTATGATGCTACCTTGCAAAGTTATCAAATTGCTCATCTTCTTATTTTCACAGCTCACCATGTTAAAACTGGGACCTGTGAAGTGGTGGCACTTCACAGATGTTGCAATAAGAACAAGATAGAAGAAAGATCACAGACGGTGAAGTGTTCCTGCTTCCCCGGGCAGGTAGCAGGTACCACCCGGGCAGCTCCTTCTTGTGTTGATGGTGCGACTACTTCTATTGCTCCCTTTCTTTGTGTTCCTAGAAGTTTTTGCTGGTTTAACATCATCACTTACCTATTTAAAATCAGAGTAGGACAGCTGCATTTTGAAGGTGATCTCCAAGGTGAACAGGAGGAAGATGGGAAGAATTAATTATTTGATATTGCTCTGTGGAAATGCTAAAAAAAATTATTAGATGACAGTGAAAGAGACCACTTGAGGGGCTAAATTTGATCTAACTAAGAGAGGACCCTTGAAGCTGTATGAAATTTACTTAATTGAAAGTATTTATGAAAAATTGACATGAGCGTATAATTTTCATATGCTACAGTCTTACATCTGATTTATATGTTTATTATACAGGAAAAAAAAAAAGGAAAGAAACAGAACACAGTTCTGCCCAGTTTTTAGTCTTTTCAGACCCACAATATTATTCCTATTCACGGTGCAATATTAGTGTCTTACTTAACAATTATGGTATAAGTTCATATGTTTTATTTAGGAAAATATTGGCTGATTTTTCACGTTGCTTTCTCTGAAAGAGTAGAAGGATTCACCCTTTAATGATCTTTTTACTGTTGATATGTTGTTGCCTGTCAGATAAGCTGTAAATATGTCATCATTGGGGAATAAAGTTAATAAGACTATGCTAGACTGCATAGTAGACCAGGCAAAAGAAGAGATTCTACTTATCACTTTGAAATCTGGCTGAGCAAGAATAAATGAGGTTGGAATGAAATACTGTGAAGAGGTTGACTTTGAAGCATATAGCACCTTTTGCAAATTTCTTACTAAGGTTGGAAGGTGGCTGAAAATCACAGACTAGCTGTCAGTGAACGTATTTCTAATATTTTCCTGGAAAATAAATGTTGCAACATAATGACATAATAAAGTGTCCACTTCAACAACATGCAAATATGTTTGTTCTTCTTTCTTTTAGCTTCAATCGTGGAGCAGAAATGGTGGTGCCACATGCAACCATGTCTTGAAGGGGAGGAATGTAAAGTTCTTCCAGATCGTAAGGGGTGGAGCTGTTCCTCTGGGAATAAAGTGAAAACAACTAGGGTAGGTATGATACCAACCTGACATGTTACCAACAAGTATAAAAAAAAATAGTGCACAGAAAATTGAGTGCACATTGAAGACCTGAGTTGAGAAGACTGAAGAAGCATGGGAAGAGAGTCATACTGGGATTGGACTTCCTGGTCCTGCACACTACTCTCAGCATACTTTTCAATTACCTGAACATAGTAAGCAGTGTGCCAGACCTTCTCAGGTAAGCACTGGGGATAGTAGAGTTGATTGCTTGAACTAAAAGTAATCATCAAATATATTGTAATCTCATATGTATTTCTTTCTGAAACTTGCTCAAAGTCTGTACACCTCGCTAAGGTCTTTATTTACAGGACAGCAAACAAATGCATTTTTATCAATAACATGGGATTACCAGGTTTCTACATAAAAACTGCTGAGTATGGTAAGCATTTGATGTGTCATTACAGTATGATCTTTTGGTTCTTTCCATCTTGTCTGACTGGGATTTACAAAAAAATTTTCACAGAGTTTCAGTGAGTTCTTTTCCTCCATTTGACACTGTTTATATTATTGGTTCAAAATTACATTGACAGAAATACATCTAACATTCATCATATACAATGCCTGACAACAGAGTATACATGCTGTCATCTCTGCTTTTTAGTGGCTAAGACAAATAGAAGAAAACCAAATTTTTCAGACAAGCAGTAAACACACAAACTTCCTAAATCTACAGCATTGTATCTCAGTAGAGTCTTCATCAACATACAAAAGATTTAATTGCTCTCTGAAGACACATGTGGATGTGTTTAAGTATAAACACCTTCACATCTACTTGCCACCACACACACTCATGATTGGTTTTTCTTTTAAGCATTTAGTAATTCTTTGTAGTGTCAGGCCATAATTTGCTAGCATGGTGTTTACTGTGCGCAAGTGTTTGGATGTTTGTGTCATTTCATTGAAATCTTCCTTTCATAAACACTAAATTTCTAGTATACATTGGCTGTAGTGATATGTAGTGTGCACTGACTGAATTATGTTCCTTCTGTTCCACAGAGAACTCCATATGTCTCAGTTTCTGAATGTATAAGTCTCTAAAACATTTTGACATTCTTTGAAGGAAGGATGCTTTCTAAATGTTTTTTATACAATTCCATTTCTGAATCCACTTTCAAATATGTTTCTTCTGAGGATAACCTTGCTGAAATGCTGCCCACACTTAACTTTGTACATGCCAATGCAAAACTGATTATATACATGTAAAATGTGTCTGCATATATAATATAACCAAAAGGAACTAGATAGAATTTAGTAATAGCAATAGAAATAGAAAAAGAATTGTATGTGTTTTGGAATTTGTGCAAACACTAACCACTATTAGAGTTACAGAATGCATGCCATTTTATATTTATTGAGAGTGTTTAACAAGAGGTAAGTAAACATGTGGGTCTGAATTACATTTCTGCAGGAAAAAAAGAGGTTACAAAAGGAGGAAAGTTCAATTAGAATTGCCTTAATGAGATTTCTTCTCAACAATTTGTCAGAGTATGGGGTTTTCTGCATTTGTTGAGGTTGAGAATTTTTGTCCACTGTTAGGAATCTACAGAAGACCAAGGCTGTTGTCCTCAAGCTGTTATGCTTCTGTTGCAGGCTTGTAGGTCTAGTTCTTTGCAGTAGTTGGAATTTTCTTGTCCTCCATGGTGGGGGCAATCCTCAGGATTCATTTCATACCTCTTCAAAATCGATGCTTTGAAAAAGCCAGTCCTTTTTTATATTTGCCATCATAAACACTGATTCAGTATAATGGCTACCATAACCTGCTTACAGACCTAGCACCACTAAAATGTCACCTTAAACGCCCCATTATTTGTTCTGCCTTCTGATTTGTCCAGATATGGTATGTTGTCCCCCTTCTTCCCTCATTTTCCACACAACTGCAAGACTGTTTTGAGACAATAGCTCAAATAGCTGTTTGGAGACAATTAAACTCAAATTTCTGATTTGAAGTTGATCTAAGTCATTGAAACCAGGGCAACAGGTCTCTGTCTTTCCAGATGCAGGGAGCATGATTTTAGCAGACATCTTTCTGATGGGCAGAAAAATTTACATTGCTATTGGAAATGTGACTGGTTCTTTATGCTAAGAGAGTATTATTATCAAAAGGCAAGCAACTTTCCCTAATATGTAGTGACTACAATATTCTTATATCTCCTCTTTCTGCTCCCTGAAGTCTATCTATAAATAAAGATTCTAAAGTGCTCTGTGGTTTTAAAATCTTTTTTTTCCTCTTTTTTTTTTCTTTTTTGAGAAAAATAAAAATAACTCTACAGTCAGTCAGTATTAAGAAATCATGAATAATAAGTTTCTTTCTTTAAAATGAAATAAGCCATATGTGATTATAAAGAAACAAAGAGAACTGAGCAGCTAGGGTGATTTAAGTGGATTATGGAATAGTCTTATGAAGACTTTCCTGAAAGACCAAAGAAAAGTCTATATGCAGCTCCAAACATTTTCTAAGCTAGCCTTCTTCATGTGCAAAAAACCTAACCTAATTGACTGCTGAAGTACTAGCTACTCTTTTATGGGATACCAACTTCAAAAGCAGCACTTGTTTTTCCACATCTTGAGTTGTTAATAGTTAAACTTTATGTTAGAGATAAAACTAGTGGAGGAAGAAAGTATTTTACTTGTCCACCTTTCTTAGCATATTTAATCATACTATTTTAAAAACTGATGATACCAACTTCCTAATACTTATGGTATTAGGCAAAAAGGCCAAATGAATACTGGGAGAAAATGAAGTGATTTTTAAAAATGTGGTCAACTTGAGGTTTTGCATTTTGTTCAGCTTTAGGGATCTAATAAGGTCATACAATGAATAATGAATTAGAAATACCTGAATTCAGATGTTAAGAAAACTCATTTGGAAATTTTCTTCCGAATGCAAAAATAGGTATTATTTTCCTAATTTGTTTGCATATTAGTGGGAAAAGGCTGATTTTAAGAGTTAATCATAGGAAAGGACTGAATACAGGGAGAAAGTGTATGAATAAGCTGGGTACTGAGTTAACTTGTGCTGGTTTAGAGTTGACTGCATTGGTCTATGTAGCTTGTAGGAAGGGAAGGGAAAAAAGCCAATGACAACTTATCTAAACAAGAAATTTTTTTGAGTTCATGATAAAAAATGTGTGTTTGTGTTGCTGAGCATTATACCACAGCAAAACAGAATATTCAGAAGCACATTATGAAATAATTATGAGCATAGCTGAGATTTTACCAGGCACATTCAGGCATTCTCCTCCAGACTGGACTGAGAAACTGTTGTTAGAGGAAGCAAATGATTTTTTTTTTATATGGCTAGCCCTAATTTTTGATAAATAAACACAAATTTTTTGTCACATTGCCCTCTTTAAATGATGAGAAAAGTGTTTCAAGAAAGGGGAAAATCCAATTTTTTTTTTTTTTACATTTGAAATATTCTTTCTTCTTACAATGTCTTTCTAATATAATTATTTTAATTCAAAAAGCTCTCCTGGTTGTTTCCTTTCTTTTCTTGCAATATAGGAAAACTTCTGCTTAAAACAAAGGAATTTTCCCATCAATTGAAAACTACAAAATATAGCAGTCTTATGTGTAAAACTGACAATGACATTTAAAAAATTCTATGAATTTGTGTTAAACAAAGGAGCTCTTTACAAATATATTTTGCAGTCAGGTAAGAGCTGAGGAGAAAGAATTTAATATTTCTCTTAGTTCTGAGACGTATCCCACACCAGAGGTGCCTCTGTGGATAGGGGTTTTCCAAGGGCTAATCCAGATGCCAGGCTTTACTTGTATTTTTAAGAACAGTACAATGCCCATTATTTTTATAGTAGAGGTAGACTTTACAGAAGAGCACTACAAGCTGCATGTAAACTGTATGAAAGTGCACGTTTCAATGCCTCCTGTGGTCCCAGTTCTCCAGGCATCCACCCTGGGACTATCTTGGACCATGTCATGGCTCCTAGGCAGCCCATAAAGCTGTGTGTCTTTCCTACAGAAACTAGATCATAAGAACAAGGTAAAGTGCTGCATCCGAGCTCTCATCTTGAGATCCTGGAGGTGCAGCATGACTAAAGAAGTGTGTGCTTGCTCCTGGCAGTGAGAAAGTGTCTCTGGGCTGGTATTTTATGAAGATGTAGAGAAATACACATTTGTATTTTTCATGAGAAAAAGTATAGCGTAGAATAGACTATTTCAGTTGAAAGGAACCTACAGTGATCATCTAATCCAACTACCTGACCAATTCAGGGCTAACAAAATTAAAGCACATCAATAGGGGCATTGTACAGTTGCCTCTTTAACAACTGACAAGCTTGTGGTGTTGACCACCTCTCTAGAAAGCCTGTTCCAATATTTGACCATCCTTTCAGTAAAGAGAAACTTCCTCATGTTCAGTCTAAACCTTCCCTGTGGCAGCTTTGAACCACTGTGCAGTAATAAATAGTACCTTGTCTTCCAGCTTTTAGTTTGATTTGGTAGAACTGCCTGCAGAACAAGGCATAGCTTTAACACTAAGCACCAAGTTCTGGTTAAAATATATGGAGTAGAATTTACTGGACTTTGCTTGGGTTAGGACTCTAGAGTGAGATAACTAGCCCAGGGAGGGTCTAGACTACCTTTTTAGTATTGAGAATTGTTCAATTCCAGAAAACAATTAATTTGTTCTAAGATAAGTCAGATTATTTACCTTCTGGAGGTGCTTATGTCTTTCAGGTAACCTAGAGGAAAGCTAAGATGACTAGATTAGCCCCAACATTTAGATACTTAATGCTGAATAGGAAGCAGCTGGCTTAAAGAACTTACTCTCTTTAATGGTCCTCATTAGGAAGATGATCATAAAAATCTTGTCATTCTTTGTCAGTTTGGGAAGGTTTGAACTTTGACCACTATTAAATGCAATATAATATTTCAAATTTTCAAAGATTTTCATATTCTGAAGATACACAGCTGTGAGCTAAACTGGTGAATCATACTATGGTGAGCAA